TGCCACGAGTGCCCTTGGGTCACAGGACAGATGTGAATTTCAAGGAAGGCCAGGCCTTTTGCCATATCACTTTCTTTGATGGGATTGTCGATGAAGCAAACGTATATTTGCTATAATAATCGACTACGTTATTTATGTTTCGTATGTAGGTAGAGTTTCGAGACTTCCAGTAAATCAATAATATGAGATTTATTCATCCTATTTCGTTGCGTTGTCGAAACTGCATTCCACCCTGGATGAGAACAACTTTTGGGAAAGTAAGGCTTTGTGAAAATCAATGGAAATGCCAGTTCTACTCATATGATTGTGGGAAAATTCTACTACCAGTCCTTTCTGACCCTAAACGAAATAGGGTAAATACATCTCATATTACTGATTTACTGGTAGTCTCGAAACTCTACTTACGTACGAAACACTTATGGGAAAGTTATTAGTGAACCGTCTAAAAGATATGGGTATAAATCGTATTGATAAAAGCAAATCTTTTTATTTAGACTTTTGTGGCTGGCTTTATTATTTAGTTCGATAGGTAAAAAATTAAACATTTATTCGATTGCTAGAGATGAAATATTTCGCAAGTAGAACCTACCAGTAATGTCGAGGTAATCTTGGATCGATTCTGCTGGTTCCAGATCGGTTTGGAGAAAGTCGAGGAGACGCGGTGTGTCAGTAATGAGTGAATCGTCTGACCGACGAATGTAATCTGACAGAGCGGCCGGCCATGGATTCAAGCTGCCAACAGATGCTGATGCACGATCTGAGCCGGTCCAACTCGAAGGTACACTCACAGACTAAGTGGTTATGAATTTATGTGTGGATACACGCATGCATTAATGTGCGCATGGATGTGAAGTAGATATGTGAAGATAAATGAATACACAAGCGTAGTATCATGCTTGCGTGCACATGCATATTTTCTCGAATTTAAAACACATTTCAGAATACAAATCGTGAGTGGATAATAGTCGAGATGAAGAATGAAAGTAGAGGGAAAATTGAATGTAAAAGGAGAATGAAATTAAAATTAAGGCATAGATCGGTAAG